AACTACAAGAGAGACTCACACAAGGAGGAGGAAGGAGGAAGTAACGAAAATAAGCGAAAAGATGAGTGGGGATAGATTTAAGAAGATACAAAGACGATTATTACTAATAATCGTCGTCTTATAAAGAATACAACATGGTTAATAAGCATTCATCATCGAATAACTACTTTCACCAACATTTAGCGACAGATAAATAATAATCATCGTTGTATATTTTATACAACAACAATTATTAAATACTCGTCATTATATAATTAGTGATATTTTTAAAAACGTCGCCGCAACGTTTTTTATAATGGCTTCAAAATAACGTCCTCATTCCCCTATTCTACATTAGTGTTAATTTCCAAATAAAAATCCTAAAGAAAAATTTTAATTAATTTTAAGAATTAAAACCACTGATTTAAAAATAAAAAACAATCTTATAAAACAAATTTATAAATGTAATAAAACAATTCCATAACATACTAAAAATAAAATTTGCTTTGTCAAGGCTTCTTAATCCTGGAAAGAAATGGAAGAAAATAAAGTTAAGTTTCCTTTTTTTAAAATTGTATGATAGCTAAAAGGAAAGAAAAATATATGTTTGTTACTCTTTTCCAAAAAAATTATTTTGAAGAAAACATAATATTAAAAGGATGCTTATATCAAACTTAATATGCATTCTATTAACATAACAAAAGTTTTATTTAATTGGTACCAGAGTCCATATTTTTAAACTAAATTTGAGTTGAAAGTGTGATTTAAAAAAAAAAAAAAAAAAAAAAGACTCCATTAAAAATACATTAGACAGTACCCATTAACTTTGAGCCGGTCCATTTCTATAGGCCGTAACTGACGCTAAAATTGCTAATGCACATCCATTCCTACTAATGCCACCGCTAAAATAGCTAACCCCTTCTTCCCGTTAATTAGAGCATATTTGTATTTATTTTTATTGTTTTTACTTCATACTTAACTTTTTAAAATACAAGTATTTTTTTCTTTAATTTCAGTTTAGATACCACTTTGTAATTTCAGTTTTATTTATTTATTTGTATTTATAGTTTGATTTTCTTTTTCTCTAGATTCTTTAGAAAATTCTAAGTTGCTATAAATTTTCTTTATCGAAAAAGTTACGAAAGTAATGACAAAATTATTAATTAATTAATTATTATCTTCTTCTTTTTTTCATTTTATCATATGCATGCGAACATATGCGATATTCATGGTCATAATTCATTTATTTTTATTTGGTGAAAAACATTATCCATTTATTAGCGTAAACATGTTTATAGGTATAATTTTATATTTTTATTTTAAAAAGAGTGAGAGATAAGACTCAAAAGTCATTGAAAATAGCATCGAAACCCGCAAAACAATATAAATATTAAATATAATCTTTTAAGATAATCATGAATTTGATTTTTTTTTAAATATTAATTAAAGAAATAGTTTTAAATAAATCAATTTTTTTCATATTTATTATTAGCATGGCACCAAATGTTATATATTATTTTAAGTCTTAATATTTTAATTGCGTTGAAAATATTTTATCTTAACTTAATAGATTTTTAAATTGTTGCTTTCTGCGTTGATTTTTTTGAAAAAAAAATATTTTTTGCAAAGACATTCACTACAAAAAAAACACTTATTATCTACGGGTAAAATCGAGTAGGTAATGCATTCACCTAAACAAAATATTTTTATTTATTGTTTTTTTGGAACTTTGAAGATTGGCAGGATTCGAACCTCCTCTTTATTATATGTTTGAAACTTGAATTATTATTAGATTAAGTGAATTGTCATTGGCAGTGATTCAACTCAATACTTGAGTTGGAGATCGATACTCCAACTATTAAGCTTATTAGGATATTTTGATAATAACTTACAAATAAATTATATTTATATTTATCCGTGTAAATATATAAATATAAAATATATAAATATAAAATATATATAAATATAAAATAAGTAAATATAAAATATATTTATATTTTGATATATTTATATATTTATATATTTATATATTTATATATTTATATATTTATATATTTATATATTTATATATTTATATATTTATATATTTATATATTTATATTTATATTTATATTTATATTTATATTTATATTTATATTTATATTTATATTTATATTTATATTTATATTTATATTTATATTTATATTTATATTTATATATTTATATATTTATATTTATATATTTATATATTTATGTATTTATATATTTATGTATTTATATATTTATATATTTACACGAATAAATATAAGTATAATTTATTTGTAAATTATTATTAGAATATCCTAATAGTTTAGTGGTTAGAGTATTAGTTTTCAACTTTAAGGTATTAGGTTCGATTCTTGCTAATGACAATTCTTTTAGGGTTTAATATAATTTACCTAATATCCGTTTATCTATGGATTTTTATCCGTGGGTAATATCCGTAGGTAATGTAAAATTTACCTACGAATTTTTATCCGTAGATAATACTTTGTAGATAATAGGGTTTTTTTTTAGTGATTAATCTTATGTTAAATCACAATTAACATTTTAATCTTATCCGTAGATAATACTCTGTATGTTAAATTTTTTTTATAGATATATAATATTTTAATTATTTTTGTTACTAATTGTTAAATCACAATTAACATTAATTATAATTAATATATTTTATTTATGATATAATATTCCCGGATTCCGTTTCTTATCTATCGGTCGGAATTTTAACATTTGGCCGTAGTGTTATATGTGTGTGTATATATATATAGAAAGAATAAATTAGTGATTTATTTTAATTTTTAGTATTTATTTTTTTACTTGATAATTAAAATGATTTATTATTTTAAAATATTATATTCTTAAAATTAAATAATTAAGATAAAAATAAATATATAATTTTTTACTCTTAAATAAATGAATTTCTTTTTTTCTATAAACTTTGTTTACATTCTCTTTAGAAAGAAAAAATATATATCAAATTTTTTTTTCTATGCATGAAAACATTAGTAGAAAATTTAAAGGTTCATGTTTGGACCCTCTCACTACAAGAAAATCGCATATTACCGACAGATATTTACCGACGGATTTGTATCCGTCGAAAAATAATTATTACCGACTGAAATTACCGACTGGATATAAAATATGTGTAGAATTTGATCTTACCGACTGGATATATCCGTCGGTAAAATAATAATTAGTTACCGACGGATATATCCGTCGATAAATCCGTTGGTAATTGACAGATGAATTTACCGACGGATATATCCGTCTGTAGAATCTGTCGATAAATTAATAATTAATTATCGACGGATATATCCGTCGGTAAATTCATTCGTAAATTACCGACGGATATTTCCGTCTGTAAATTATCAATTAGTAAATATTCAACTAATTAAAAAACTAAATATTTTTTATTTAATAATTTCATTTAATCATAATTAGATTAATTTATAATAATTTCTTAAATTAAATAATTTAAAAAAATAAATATTTAATTATATATAAATATATAAATATATATAAAAACATATAAACATATTTAATTGTATATAAATATATAAATATATATATATATATATATATATATATAATATATATATATATATATATATATAATATATATATATATATATATATATATATATATATATATATATATAAATATATACATATATATAAATATATATATATATATATATATATATATATATATATATATATATATCTATATAAATATATATATGTATATAAATATATATATATATATATATATAAATATATAAAATATAAATATATAAAATATAAATATATTAAATATAAATATATTAAATATAAATATATAAAATATAAATATATAAATATATAAATATATAAATATATAAAAATATAAAAATATAAAAATATAAATATATAAATATATAAATATATAAATATATAAATATATAAATATATAAATATATAAATATATAAATATATAAATATATAAATATATAAATATATAAATATATAAATATATAAATATATAAATATATAAATATATAAATATATTAATATATAAATATATAAATATATAAATATATAAATATATTAATATATAAATATATAAATATATAAATATATTAATATATAAATATATTTGTATATAAATATATTAATATATTTGTATATAAATATAATTTATTTGTAAATTATTATTGAAAAATTCTAGTAGCTTTAGTGGTTGGAGTATCGACCTCTAACTCTACAGGACTCGGGTTTGAATCCTGCTAATGACAATTCTCTTAATATGATAATAATTGAAGCCTATAAAAATGTAATAGGGAAAAATAATTAATAATAAATAATAAAAATATAAAGTGAAGGGGTATTCTATAAAATAAATAATCTATATACTTAAAATATTTAATAAATAATAAAAATATTACCGACGGATTTTGACCGTCGGTAATATCAAAATTTCTTGTAGTGTCTGTTTTAGTAATCAGGAAAAACCTATAGCACTCACATATCTAAAAACGTGTTCCTAAATTATAGGTAAATTATAGTTATGATTCCTATACAACGACGGAAGATTAATTAAGATTACAATGGGATCAATTAAGATCATAATTGGGATGAGCTGAGATCATAATGAAGGATTAATTAAGATCATAATTAGAGATAAACTAAAAACAATATGGAGGATGAGTTAAGATCACACTGAGGATCAATTAAGATCACAAGTAGCACAAATGTATTATTGCCAATTGGTAGATGCTAATATGTTAGACATAATGATTCCTAAGTAGTCCTGAGTTTGAGAATGAAGGCGGAAAAGGAGATGGAGCGGTGCATGACGACAATTCAAGTGTTGCTGTCGACGTAGTAGAATAGGTTATCGTTGGGGCAGGGGAGGATCTTGCCGCCAAAGCTGCACATGAAGCACATCGACGACAACACACCGTGAAAATGGTCAGAGCGAGGGGAGGAGGTGACGGAGTTGGCATCTAAGTAGTGAGAGTGTGATGTTATTCTCCAGCGAGTGTGGAAGTAGAATCGTTGCTTTAAATCGTGAATTCGATGTCAGAGACACATACATTTCTCGGTGCCATTATTATAGCAGCAGTTCCCATGTATTTTCATCATGATAACAACTTTAATGTTATCCTTGGTTACTCTGATCTGATGGCATTCTGCTGCTCGAAAACATTATTGAGCTTACCCTCTTTGCTGCAAAAGCTCAACAACTCGTCAATCATGTCACTTTCTTCCTAACAAATGTCGTGTTACCTTTTCTCCATGTGCTCGTCAATGATCTTGTCGACAAAACCATCTAAGCGACACGTGCCTTGACCAACCTTTTATTCAAACCCTAAGGATCAACCCACCAAAGACACGGGATAGAGTCCGCAATGTTAAAGGCTTAAAACAACTTTGAAAATTACTCAACAATTGAAATGAACTCATCCTGACACTCTTGAGAACGAGATCCAACAATTACACGATACATGATGTTCTTGGTGAGATGATACACCAGTTTGTTCCCCATGTTAAGAGGTTGCCCACATTCGCCATGGTGATGCAGACGATAGCGTCGACTATGTCTCTATGGGTTGCCTCGCATTCACAACCACCTTGGCAGCTCTTGCAAAAACTGCTACTACTGGTTGGCAACCGTGCGGTGAACATTGGAGTTTTGCTTCCACTTGTGGAAATGTCGTCGTCGACTGTAATGACAGACTAACTCAACATCGCGAAGAACATGGTGTGATAGTCTTGAATGTTGAGAGTGACCTCAACATGTTCGTCAGCAACGAAGTAGGACTCAGGATATGTTCCTAAATAGTAGGTGGATTATGGTTAGAGTCCTTATATTGAAGGAGTGAAGAATATTATTGAGAGAAAATAAGATTGATGATTCCGTGATTCTTTTCCTTCTAACTCTAATAAATTATTAAAGTTGACTCTAGGATTTGTTACCTATATATCGCCTTAAATCATACAGGAGGGTCATTTTTATAACTGCCACGATTCCTGGATAAAAATGTTATGTGGTTTATACTTATTTTGATCGAATTAATTTTCTTCTTCAAAAATTTTAGAAACTGTTAATAAATAGAAATATTCAAACGTTTAATATTAGGAGCTTGCTTAAACCGCCAAATGATCTTATTTAATTTATGAGGATATGGGAGACAAGTTTACTCGCAGTAACATGCATCCTTTACTTTTGCCACGGAATGTGGAAACTAGTTTGATATTTGCTTATTATTTTATGCATTCATATTAATAATTCATCGACTCTAATTAACGATTGTTTCTATTAGAATATTAGGTTTGACTAGCTTTTTGTTTTTGTTATAAATATTGTGTTGCGCAATAGATATAGATATTAGGAGGGTACAGTGTGAATAATTTGCATCGATTTTTTCCACTTTTTTATAATATCTCTCTGTAGAATTTTCTCTTTTGATATTTTTTTAGAGATCTTTCTCATTAACAATGGCATGAGATCATCAAGATCGGGAAAGAAGAAAATTAATGGTGATGATAGGAATTAGATTGTAATGTAACACATCAGTGTTAGATAACAAGAATTGGAATGATTATGATAGTTTGTGCATGAAGATGAAGGCTATTTTTGAGTTTCAAGAAGTCAATATTATTCTGAAAGGATACGACAAGCTACCTGATAATCCCATTAAGCATAACGTGTTATGTTTCGTGATGTGAAGAAACACAATTATAAATATTTATTTTATATTCATTAGTGTATTTATGAAAACAATTTTGAGAAGAGTCTCATTGGCAAATATGACGAAAAAAGTTTGGGATATTCTGGCACAAAGTTATGTATAAATAAAAAAGTTGAAGATGGTGTGACTTCAAACCTTACATCGTCAATATGAGTTGTTACATATGAGAACTCAAAAAACCATTCAAAAATATTTTGCAAGATTGTTCTCTCTCATAAACTTGATGAAATTGTGTGGTGAAAGATTAAAAACGAGTGGTGGTGAAAAATGTGTTAAAGACTCTCAATGCAAGATTCGTATGATTTTCGTCGCAATTGAATAATCCAAGAATATGGATTTACATGAAAGAGAAAATGGTAAATCCAATTCAGAATAGACCTTATTGGTGGAGCAAAATCAGAAGAATGAAGGTAATATAGGAAAATTCAATAAGAGAGATCATGGAAGAGGTTTCAGAGACATAAATAATGGAGGTCGAGGTTCAAAACGATAACAAGAGAGTTTCTCACAATCAAGAGGGGGCAAAGACAAAAATATGTAATAGAGAGGTGGTCGATCTAGTTCTGACAGTAATAAAAATAATATACAGTGTTATAATTGTAACAAATATGACCATTATGCAGTGGATTATTGGAGCAAAGGTTTAGACAATAATGAAGAAGCAAATGTGGTGCAAAAGGAAGACTTTGAGGATGAAGTGTTGTTAATGGTGACTACGACAAAACCAAAAAAACATATGGAGAATCTCGGTATTTGGATACAGGTTCTTCCAATAATATGTTGTTTCAGAAGAGTTGGTTTGTTGAGTTGGATGAAAAGATTAAATTGAAGGTGAAGTTTGTAGATAATTATACAGTAAATTGTGAAGAGAAAGAAAAGATTTTGATTAGAAGAAGAGATGATAATTCTGCAATAGTTTTATACGTTCTCTATGTTCCATCCATGAAGCACAACCTATTGAGCATTAGTCAACTTCTGCAAAAAGGGCATTTAATTTATTAGAGATTAAAGGAGAAAATGTTGAGAATCCTCAATAAAAATGGGACACTGATTCTGAAGGCTCCTCTAAGCAAAAACAAAACCTTTATAGTTAATATTTCAGTATAGAATCATGTGTTTTTTGTAGCTATAGTTTATGATATCAACTGGTAATGGCATCTAAGGTACGGTCATCTAAATTTCGATAGTCTAAGTTAACTTACAGAGAAGGAGATGGTGATAGGATTACCTCAAATTTGGTAGTGTAAAGATATTTATGAAAGTTGCATGTTAGGAAAAAAACAAGAAATCCCTTCAAGGTGTATATCGAGACTAGGAGTAAAGGAATGTTAAAAGTCATCTACACCAATATGTGTGGACCTTTCTATGTATCCTCACTTGGTGGAAACATGTACTTTATTACGTTTATCGATGATTTCAACAAGAAAATATGATTGTATTTGCTCAAGAAGAAATTGGAGGTTTTTAACTATTTTTTCGAAATCAAAAAGTGTGTTGAAAAACAAAGAGACAAAGTTATTAGAGTCTTGAGAACAAATGGTGGTCAGTATAATAATGGTGATTTTGCATCATTCTGTAAGGAAAAGGGTATTTTGCATGAAATTGTACCCCATATAAACCACAACATAATAATGTTGTTGGACGAAGAAATTGAACTATTCTAAACATGGTTAGAAGCATGTTGAAAAGCAAAAGTCTAACACATTCTTTTTGGAGTGAAGAAGTAGTGACAACAATTTATATTTTGAATCAATGTTAAACTAAGAGAGTTAATGAGAAGACACCAGAAGAAGTTTGGTCGGGGAAAAAGTCGAATGTAAAGCATTTAAAGATATTTGGCTTTATTGTTTGTAGACATATTCCTGTTGAGAGAAGGAGAAAACTCATTGATAGAAGTGAGAAATTAATTTTGGTAGGGTATCATCCAACAGGAGCTTATAAGTTGTTTGATCATATCATGAAGAAGATTAACATTAGGAGAGATGTTATAATTGATGAGAAAGCCAATTGCGATTGAAATTCAATGAAGAAAAACAAAATATCAGTTTCAATGTTTCATGTGATTCAAACTGTATAACTTTTTTCTTAGTTTACACATGTAATCTTTCTTGCCTTCAACAAGAAAAATATCAGGTTATTTTATGTAAATCTCTTCCTCCAAATTACCATGAAGGAAAGTTGTCTTCACATCCATTTGTTCAACATCCAAATCAAGAGTAACAGTTAAACTTAACACAACTCTGATAAATAATATTTTCACCACAGGTGAGAAAACCTCATTAAAATCAACACCCTTTTTCTGTCTAAATTCTTTCACTACTGATCTGGCTTTAGCTACAACTTCCCCTGCCAGAGTTGTGCTTCGTGGAATTAAGGCCTCAAATCATCACTTTCTCACCCCTATGCTAAATGTGTCCCACTTTACTAACGAACCGGTGACGTAAAGCTTCTATTCTCAATTGATCATTTTTTCTTCCCCTCTATAGCCTCACATCTTTTATTGCCCATCGATAAAGGAATGACTCTTGGTGAGCCAAGAGCTCAAATCAAGCTAGAGAGCTTCCTGAACCAGATAGTGCGACGCAGAACTTATTGCTATCTATCAATTCCCAGAGTTTAGTTCAGAACCTCATAGGCCAGGAATGCCATCAAGAAAGAAGCCTTTTCCTCTCAGTGTCAGTGTCAGCCATACCATGGTGATGTAGAATTAGCCTTTTGCTTCATCCTAAGAATCCACCTGTTCTCTAAAGCCCTTTTGCCCTTAGGTAATTTTACCAAGCATAAGTATGATTATCATGCAAAATTTTTATCTCATCTTGCATTACATCCAACCACTTTTGTTGTTCTTCACTTTCCAAAGCTTCTTCAGAACACTCAGGTTCTCCACCATCAGTCAAAGTTACATACTCATCAGAAGAATATCTAGAAGAAGGTTTTCTCAACCTATTGGACCTCCTGGTAGGGACTTGTGGTAATTCAGGTATATCATCATGTTCCTCTTGAGCATCATCAATCGAAACCTTTACACCATCCTCCAACTTGTTGATCACCAACATCACCATGTTGATCATCATTTTGAGCATTAGACTCAATAAATAGGCAACTGCATCGGATTACCATCAATGAGATTACTATCTTTCTCGAGTATAAGTCTTCTCCACTTTGTTAACATCTTAATGGTTTGGTATTCTATGAACTGCACATCATAGCTTTTTCTCAACAGGATCATACAACTTATAGCCAAACTCATCTTGACCATAACCAATAAAGATACATTATCTTGTCTTTGCATCTAACTTGGATATTTCATCCTTTGGAACATAAACAAATGTTCTACAATCAAAGACATGCAAATGATCATAATTAACATTCTTGTCAAACCAGATTTTGTCTGGTACCTCAGTATTCAAAGTAACTACATGACTAAGATTAATAACATGCAAGCTACAAACAATGCCTCTCCCAAAAAATGATTAGGCAGATTTGCTTTAAAAAACAAACATCTAACTCTTTCAACCAAAGTCATGTCCATCATCTCTACTAGAATATTCAACTGAGGAGTTTTAAGAGAAGTCTTTTCATGCCTAATACCCTACTACTTGCAATAAATATCAAAGGGTCCATGATACTCACCATCATTATTAATACGAATGTATTTCAACTTCTTATCTTATTATCTCTCAACCAAAGCATGAAATTCTTTAAACTTTTCAAGTACTTGATCATTTCTTTGTAGTGCATAGACTCATAGCTTCCTGGAACAATCATCAATAAAAATAACATAGTAAAGTGCATCACTAAATGACTTTACCTTTAATGGGCCACAAACGTCAGAATACATCAATTCAAGCATCTATAACTTTCTTGAGGGAGGATGTTTCTTAAAGAATACTCGGGTTTGTTTACCAGACATGCATTGAGAACATTTCTCCAACTCTGCACTCTTCAATCCAAAATGCATATCCTTTTTAGCTAAGCAATTAATTCTTTTTTTCACTTATATGATCAAGCCTTCAGTGCCACAAAGATGCCTCCATATATATAGTATTTACATTGTCCATAGCAACCAAAGTTTTAGTCCAATAT